TTTCCCTTTACCACCAAATCATGTTCCGCTTCGTGTTCAGATTCTTTATCCACGTTGTCGGGCGGCCCAAGCCTTACGCCGCCCTTTACTTCCTTGACGAAGACGACTGGTAGTGGCCGGAGCCGAACTAAGCGACCAATTCAAACACTTCCTTTCTCAAGATTTACGAAGGCAAGACTAAAAGGGGAAGACATTAGAGCCGAGGGGCTAGAAGAATGTGATCCGTTGATCGAGGGAGAACTCTCTCGAAGGGACACCGAGGATTTCATGGCCAGAGAGAATCTAATAACTATAGCGGAAGAAAAGAGACCGCAAGCATCGGACGAGTGATAAGGAGGGGAGACAGAAATTCATCTTCGAGCCTTGGCGACATGTGGAACGAGAAGGAGCATCCGACTCTTGCGGCGGGCATTTGAGGAGTGTTAACGACAATGGGAGGTAGGTGAGTGCCGAGGAACCGAAAACGGGAGTAGTCACTAAATCGACTCTAATGAGGCCCTAGCATTTGGGACGTGAGTCGACACTGAAGAGAGAGCGACAGGCCCTACAGCCGAAAGACGGCCTCGGGAAAGCCGAGCCTTCAAAATTCCCGACAGTTGAGCTCTTTTCGGTTGCCATGTGACCATTAGGGATCCAAACAGGCCCGGGGCTAGGTTCGGGAGCCAGGCCTGGTACCGGGGCGCTGCAAAGTTCCCGACTTTTGCAGCACTCCGGCCTGCTGGAGCCTCGTGAGGCTGGGCCCAACAAACTATAAAGGCCCAACCAGGCCCGGGTTCGGGGGATTCTCCCAGGCGCACGGAAAGGGCGCACGAGCCGGGCACGAAGTGCCCTGGCTCAGGACGCACGGGGGACCAGCGGGGAGGGAGTACCGCAAGAACTGGCGCCCAGAAACAGGTACAACGGCGTACGGAGAGGACACGGCGGGGGCTTTGATACGGCACGGGCAGCGAACAGGGGAGCCATGCATAGACCAGGAAAGATCCCGGTTCCCGTTCGCGTACGGGGCTTGTGAGTCCAATCACGAGCGAACCGGGACGAGCACACGTGGAGAGCGACAGGGAGATAGCAGTAAGGGCGCATACCTGGTATTCGCGATCGGCTGCACGGGCGAGATCTTCAAGTACTTCGGCGAGTGCTGACGTCAATAGTTGGTTCGACAATTCGTAGGCAGATAATAGTTGTGAGGGCGTCCACATTCCTGCTGAAAGTGCAAGGATCTAGCCCTCCCCGAAGTCCAGGTTCATGCGCCTGGCACAACCGTGCGTGCAGTACCAGAAAGGGAGCACGGGCGGGAGAGAGAGAGAGAGAGAGAGAGAGAGAGAGAGAGAGAGAGAGAGAGAGAGAGAGAGAGAGAGAGAGAGAGAGAGAGAGAGATCCGCACAAGAGGGCGATCCGACTACACCATGGCGAGCTGCGGGGATGCGCACGGAGTGCGCCTTAGCTCCGCGTGTGGAAACGAGCCGCACACGGGGAAACGGGCTGCGTAGTGGTACGGGGCCATTGCGCTATGAGCAGGCTGCGCGCGAAGCAACGGGATTGAGCGCTTGCGCGCGAGAGAGAGAGAGAGAGAGAGGGAGAGAGGGAGAGAAGGGAGGAACGAAGTGCGGGAAAGCTGAGCCGCCCGTGAAAGAGGACCTCGCGCGCGCGCGAAGAGAGCCACGCGTTGGGTAAAGAGGCTGCGCGGGAAGGCGGCAATCTGCGAGCGGGAGCGCGGGCC